ACACACCCCTACACACACACACAATCACTCTCTTTATCATCTACCTGCACAGACCAAGAGCAACTTAACTTTTTAGCTTTCACATTCTCCCTTCACATATTAAAGAAAAGCATTCAAACCTGGACATATGTTAATGCCTACGTAATGCATATTGCATTTATCAATAATAATACCAAAGTAAACATATCTGAATACTTATCATATATTCATATCTGAACAAAGTATTTAGAGCGACCTGTAGGAGAGATCTGATATTGTGTCACCTGAACAGAGAGTGGATATTTTTGAGATTGTCAAGGGTTGGAGAATCTGACATGTTTTTCTGTTCCCTCACATGGTTTTCCCGCTTCATTCCTCTCGTACTTTGAATTCCTCTGTCTGTGATTGATGGCTCAGATCTGCTGCAGGGGACTCGGATTGTGCCACAATGTTGGTTCACTGTTTACATTAGAGTTTATGACATCATAATAAAAATGAATGAACATCAGCAAACAATGACACTCTACCACCCCCTTGTGGAAGTCAGTGTCACAACAGAAGCTGCACACACACTCTTAACACAAACACACACTCACATTTCTGAGACTGAAGTCTGAACCCTGCATTTTGCTCCAACTCTGGTATTCACTTCAGTTCAAATAATGCTTGTGTGTCTGCCTGCGTGTGTGTTTGTCCGTTCATTCAGGTGACGTCAGTGTGGGGATCAAGTGTGATGCCAATATGGTCGGTGACAAAGAGGCTGACGTGGACTTTGACATCATCCCCAACGCCAACGACACGTTCACTGTCAAATACATGCCTCCTGCTGCTGGTAGACTCACCGTTAAAGTCCTGTTTACTGACAAGGTACACACACACACACACAGCTTAAAGGTTTGCAGGTTTTAATCTCTGGATAGATCTCTGAAGATGTTCTGGGTTTGTTCTGATAAATTTTGGCTTCAATTTTTCCACACAGGAAGTTCCTCAGAGTCCCTTTCACGTCAAAGTTGAACCTTCCCACGATGCATCAAAGGTTAAAGCAGAGGGTCCTGGACTGGCTCGCACTGGTGAGACAGGCGCCGTTTTGCTTCGCAGTTTACGTCTAATTCTATTAAATTATCTGTGTCTCTGTGTGTTCTTGCTTGAGTGTTGCACTTAATCTCTCTCTCCCTCTACCTGTCCAGGTATAGAGAGCGGTAAGCCGACTCATTTCACAGTGTTGACTAAAGGAGCCGGGAAAGCACCGCTGGATGTTACCTTCTCTTCCCCCGTCAAAGACTTTGACATCATTGACAACTACGACTACTCCCAGACTGTCAAATACACACCTGCACAACAGGCACGTCAAATTCTACACAGTCATTATGACAGATAAAAAATAAACTCTGTATAATTTTCCTAAAGTTGTGATTGCCAGTTCGCACCAGAACAACAAACCCAGTGAATGCTGTGTGCAGACAGCACGTCTTCATCTGTCTGCGAATGAAAGCTGAAAAGAGACATTTCATGTTCTGACGTGTTTTCGGTAGAATTAAACAGTCAGCAGGTTCTTACCCAAGTGCTTTTTAAATCTGCACGTTTCATGTGTCTGCAGGGGGAAATGACGATTGTGGTGAAGTTTGGTGGAGATCCCATCGCCAAGAGCCCCTTCACGGTTGGGGTTGCTGCCCCGCTGGATCTGAGCAAGGTCAGCCTGGACAACCTGGATGGAAGTAAGAAATATGTCTTTTTTGTCTCAGCTAATAAATTTTTTTAGGACACAAAAATAATTTGTAGTTCTTGTTGTTCTTTACTATTTAGTACTCACCTGCGAATAATTTCCACTTGATTGTTAAATTAATAAATGTCTTTCAGGAGTGGAGGTCGATCAGGAACAGCAGTTTATGGTTGATACCAAGGGTGCAGGAGGTCAAGGTCGCCTGGAAGTGGCAGTGGTGAGTTTCAGGGAATGCTGTATTTATTTCTAAAATTATCTTTTTCACTTAGATCACTATGAGCTTGTTATTAGAATCAATCCATTGTTGGCTTTAATTTTAAAAGAGACTGTGGTTTTAAGTCACCAAGTGTGTGTTTGTGTGTTCCTAGCTGAGTCCCAGCCAGCAGGCGGTACCCTGTAAAGTGGAGCCTCAGGCGGGGAAAGCAGGCATCAGTCTGGTCCGTTACACCCCCACAGAAGAGGGCGTCCACGCTGTCAACGTGTCCTACGATGGACACCCCGTACCTGGGAGTCCCTTCCCTGTGGACGCCCAGCTACCTCCAGACCCGAGCAAGGTAACATCAGCATCCGATCCTTATGTATGGAAAGCATGGAAACATGGTTGTTGTGAAGAGTTTCTATTCTTCTTTCTTTTTCTCTTTGGTTGACAATAGGAGTAGGTAGTATTTGACAAGAGTTAAAACAGCTAAATTAAAAAACAACATGAAAACTGAAAAAAAATAAAATAAAAGCGGCTACATTCGTCCAATCTCGCCCCCCCTCCCCTCCAGGTGAAGGCGTTCGGTCCCGGTCTGAAGGGAGGTTTAGTGGGAAATCCGGCAGAGTTCACCATCGACACCAAGGGTGCCGGCACCGGAGGTCTGGGGCTGACGGTGGAGGGTCCGACCGAGGCCAAGATCGAGTGTTCAGACAACGGCGATGGGACCTGCTCTGTCTCCTACCTGCCCACCGAGCCCGGAGACTACCTCGTTAACATCCTGTTTGAGAACGTCCACATCCCAGGCTCACCATTCAAAGCCGACATCCAGATGCCCTTTGACCCCTCTAAGGTGGTGGCGTCGGGGTCGGGCCTGAAAAGAGCCAAGGTGAGGGTCCGGAGAGGCTTCTTACACTTCCCAAAATGATCTGTTCTGTGACACTTTGCCAGGATGAATGAGGAACTGTTAATTTTTTAATTTAAATAAAGTATAAAGTCTCATCAAGCTTGTTGTGTCTGTGCAGGTTGGAGAGACCAGTGTGGTGAATGTGGACTGTTCCCGGGCCGGACCAGGACAACTCAGTCTGGAGGCTGCACTAGACTCCCCCCCAACCAGTCCTACTGGCTCTGCACCAGGCTCTGGTAACACCAACACTGTTTTTATTCACCAGTACCAACATAAACATGATCAGCTGTGAAAGAGTTTACTGGTAGTTGTAGATGCTTTAGCATATTAACACATTAGTGCTGACCACTTTCCAGGTTATCCGTCTTCCTTCCAGACAGGCATTGACTTCAGTTTGTTTCTATGAAAGACTGTGCCCAATGTGAAAATGAAGAAGTACTTGCCAGGTGATGAACCATCCGTTTATTACCGTCCATCACAGGCAAACTTCAACAAATCAGATCAACAAACAATCCATTGAGCTTTCCATCAAGGAAAGCCTTCAGTGTCTTACTCTGCTCTTCTTTCAATGAAGAAAAACTCTCCAGTTCTGACATAACCGATGCTACATTTACGCTAATGTCTTATTGACTAAGTCATATTGTCCTGAAATGAACTGAAACGCTGCCTGGAAGAGGAAAAACACCAAGTTATGCAAAATTGCCCACAAATATCTTTGTTATGAATATATAGTGTCTGTTGTTGTTATTCCACATGTGGGAAGTGTTCTGTTGAAAGCACACAGAACAACTCACATTCTAGATATTCGGACAGGCTTCAGTGCTGTGTTGGAAATGTAAAAACTACACTGTTTGTTCCAGGTGTTAAAGCTAAGACAGAGGTGCTGGACAACAAAGATGGGACATACACGGTGACCTACGTCCCTCTGACCTCTGGCATGTACACCCTGCTGCTGAAGTACGGAGGCAAGGCCGTCCCCGGTTTCCCTGCCAAGGTGATGGTGGATCCTGCCGTGGACACCTCCAAGGTCAAAGTGTTTGGACCCGGAGTGGAGGGACAAGGTGCAGTATGGCCCATCTGAGTCAGTTCTGTTTGGTTAAAGCTTGTTAAAGTATATCCTCCAATACAAAAAAGCTAATTTTCTGGGTTTGCAATGGGAGGTTTCTGTTATACATATGTCTCCAAGCCAAGATGATCATGACCAGATATTTTCACAGACTTGATAAAACTTCTTCAGAGCCACAGAAGACATTATACAACTGTTTTCACTGGCTGAGTAGGACTAACAAATGAGTAAACTGTCCCTTTTAAACATATGTACTTCCTTTCTCCTGCAGCTGTTTTCAGAGAAGCCACCACAGCGTTTACGGTGGACGCCCGTCCTCTGACCCGGCGAGGAGGAGACCACTTGAAGGCAGAGGTCAGGAACCCATCCGGAGCGCTGACAGACTGTGTGGTCACCGACAATGCAGACGGGACCTACGGCATTGAGTACACTCCTTTCGAGAACGGTAACGCACCATCTGCTGAGAAACACTCCTCCATGAACCTTTCCCAAACTACTTCACCGTAATCTACATCCATCAGCTGCTGACTGTTTCGGTGTGTGTTTCAGGCGTCCACAGCGTCCAGGTTCTGTATGATGACACACCGGTTCCTAAGAGCCCCTTTAAGGTCTCTGTGTCAGAGGGATGTGACCCCAGCAGGGTGGTGGCTACGGGCCCCGGACTCGAGCAAGCCCTGACTGACAAACCCAACAACTTCAACATAATCACCAGGTACTGTTGGGAACAAAAGTGTTTGAAGGCAGACGAGTTATGATTCCAGTTCTTACACGTTAAGGTCTGTGCAGCATTTTGTTGCAGTAAAATAACTTCTGGTCAGACTGATTGCTGATTTTGGGTGTGTTGATCTGTTATCAGAGGGGCAGGTATTGGTGGTCTCGGCATCACTGTGGAGGGTCCATCAGAGTCAAAGATGTCCTGCAAAGACAACAAAGATGGCAGCTGCAGCGTGGAGTACGTTCCCTTCACCCCCGGCCTCTATGACGTCAACATCACCTACGGAGGAGAACACATCCCCGGTGAGAGAGAGATTTTAGACCTTCTTGTAACGCCATGTCCTGCTGCTAATGGCATTACATGTTTTTATGAATGGCAGCAGTGTTTTGTCAGTTATTTGTTCTTTTGGTTCAACACTATGAAGTGAACTAAGGATCAGTCCGGGGTTATTCTATATTTCTCTTATTGTCAACTTATTCCATAAAAAGACTAAAACCAACTTGTTAGTCCACCTCTCAATACTTTTTGACTTCCATCAGTAAATCTTTAGAAATGTCTCACAAATATATAGTTTCATATATAGTATATAGAGTAAATTGATTACTTTTCATTACTTTTGGATTGCCTCAACACCAAATATGCAAATAAAAAGAGAAAAGAAATATCAATAAGAAGTATTGATGTAAGATGGACGATGGAAGATCTTTAGCATCAAAAATATGTCCTCTTCTCAGTGTATCTTTAAAGAAACACTAATTGATTTTAAAATTGTAATGCTGCTTAATAATCCCCATTTTTACTAAATGTAACTGTAATCTGATTACGTCTTTTTTTCTGTAACTGTAATGGATTACACTTACCTTTTTTTGTATCCTGATTATGTATCTCAGTTACACGTAATACATTACTCCTGAAGCTCGGTTGTAGTGAGTATTTCCAGCAGCAGGACGGTGTCTGTGGGACTGAATCAAATAACTACAGTGTGTTCACGGTAATGAAGGAACATGTTACCCAGTGAAACAGTGTGACTCATTGATGTGTTTTTAATAGTATTTGGACAAAAATGGAGCTCTCTGGAACAAAGGAATAACCAAACAAAATCTTTTAGTAGATCAATTCATTGTCGGTTTTGGTGTTTTTATAAGGTTTGTTGACAATAAGAAGAACATAATGATTGGTACAGAAATTGGAAATTGGCTCAAAAATTTAAATCATTGACTTCTCATCGACAGCAGACATCCTTACACAGATCCACTTGGATCCCTCACGTCTGTTTATTTCCCAAAGGCACTTTAATGTTGATTCCCTTGTAACATGTTGTCGGCTTTGCTCTCATTTCCGCCTATAAACAACCACTGACGTTAAAAGATGTGGTTTGTGTCAAAAAGATGTTATTGGCTGAGAAAAGATGTGCCGAGTGTTTCAGTTTAATGTTTTAAAGATGTGGTTGAAGTTAAAAAGCTGCAGCTCAGTTTAATGGACTTTGTTCAGGAAAAGCTCAGCATGTTTCCTTGTTCGACACCTTTCATAGACAGATGTGAGTTTGTGGTTTTGCTTTGTGAAGGCACCAGCTCGAGGTACAAAAAGCTGTAGGATGCGGAAACCACATTACCCAGAAACCACATGATCCAGATCAAACTTAAAAACAATGTAACACCAGGATAAACTTTATAGAGCTATTGCAGTTAGCCAGTAGTTAGGCTACTCACTATAGTACAGTAAAGATGACCAGTGGCCAATGATGCACAGGCAGACTGAGAGAATTTGGGACAATATTTTCCAGCAATAGGAAATAGTAGGGCTGCAACAAAGGATTACTTTCATTATTGATTAATCTGCCAGTTATTTTTTCAATTATGGGCAAAAACTAAATTCTTACTTTGCTTTAGTTTTTGTGACTTAAACCTATATTTCCTCTTCCTGATCCTTCTAGGAAGTCCATTCAAGGTCCCAGTGAAAGACGTGGTGGACTCCAGTAAGGTCAAGGTGTCTGGCCCTGGGGTGGGATCAGGGGTCAGGGCAAATATCCCACAATCCTTCACTGTAGACTGCAGGAAGGCGGGCGTGGCCCCGCTGGCTGTGGCTGTCACTGCTACTAAAGGAGTCTCAGAACCCGTGGAGGTGACGGACAACGGGGACGGGACTCACTTGGTGTCCTACACTCCATCTGTGGAGGGACCGTACTCTGTGGCCATCAAGTACGCAGAGGAGGACGTCCCCCGCAGGTATACAGCAGTGGATCAGTTTATCATTGTATTTTTTGAAGTATTTGTGTTTTTTTGTTTGGTTTTGTTGCTACTGACATAAAAAAAAAAAAAAGAATTCTCCTTTGAGACAGCACAAGGTTTCCTTAATGCTTCTTTGTTGTGATAATGATATCTGCACTTTGACACTTTGTGGGACTCTTTTTCTTACTTGGACTTCCTTTTTATTAAAAATTCCGACTACAGTGGGAATAAAATAAGGATGATTGAATTTAAGACTCAGTTTGTCAATGCATGAAAGGCAGAGAAGCGTCTGTAGTGACTGTGTCTGTGGTCTCTTCAGTCCCTTCAAGTTTCGGGTTCTGCCCACTCACGATGCCAGCAAAGTGCGAGCCAGTGGCCCCGGGCTAACCAGTGGCGTCCCTGCCAGCTTCCCTGTCGAGTTCAACATCGATGCCAAGGACGCCGGCCAGGGCCAACTGAGCGTGCTCATCACTGTCAGTAACCCACACCTACACACCTACACACCTACACACCTACACACACCTACACA